GAATTGGGCGTGGGGCTGGGGTCAGCGAAGTTCCTTTTGAACCCTCATTGGGAATCAACAGCATCGTAACTAAGGCTGCGGGCGGCTGGGATCGGCACATTTCCGATTGGGTTCGCTTTGAAAAGGGAACCAATTATTGTGAAGGGACTGGAGAAGAAGCAGTTGACGAAATGCGCTTGCTCATCATTGAAAACCAAATGGCTGGTATTGTAGAACTCAGCAGGAGGCTGGCACCAACGCATTTCCTATTGAAAGTAGTCGGCCCGCCGCGTTGCATCGCCGTCACTGCTACGCTCGCCACCACTAGTAGCAATGGAACCACCAGCGGGATACGGCCCCCGCTCACACGGCGGCGGTGATCAGCCATGGCGGCTGTCTGCATAGTGGCACAGGCCTGAACGATTGCTGGCATGACGGGCCAGCGAAACCCTGAGGGACCTTGAACACGCACGCTCCATAAGACTCACTGAAAAATAGCTGGATCCACGACTTGAGCCAAAATGGCTACGGAGGATGATGATGACTATGACGATGGCGATGCTGATCATGATGATGAAACTGATGATGAGCATGATGATGAAACTAATGATCATGGTCGAGATGAATCTGATGATGCTGATGCTGATGACGATGATGATGATGATGACGGTGGTGATGCTGGTGTTGATGATACTTACGATAACGATGGTGAATCTGATTGGTATGAGGGTTATGAGGTTACAGATGGATCTGATGATGGTGTTGAGGATGACGATGGCGATGCTGATCGTGATGCTGATGTTGATGATGCTGATGGTGGTGGTGGCGATGGTGCTGAAAATGATGATGGTGATGATGATGGTGATGATGGAGGTGATGACGGGTATGATGAAGATGAAGAGGGCAATGAAGATGATCATGGTGGTTACGATGATGACGATGACGATGACGATCGCGATGATGATGACGCCGATGACGATGATGATGCTGCTGATGATGCTGATGCTGATGCTGGTGACGATGATGTCGCTGACGATGGCGATGGTAATATGGATGATGATGATGAACACGATGCTGATGATGATGATGCTGATGGTTGCGATGATGGTGATGGTGATGGCAATGGAGATGAAAGAGATGATGACGATGCTTATGATGAAGATGTCGATGACGGTGATGATGCTGATGATGATATCTGATATTGGCGATGATGATGACGGTGGTGGTGATGATGATGATGATGAGTATGATAATGATGATGATGATGCTGATAGTGATGTTGATGCTGATGATGATATTGATGGATCTGATGGGTATGAAGCTGGTGATGGATATGATGCTAATTGTGATGATGATGGTAGTGCTGCTGATGATGATGATGATGATAGTGATGTGCTGCTGCTGCTGCTGATGATGATGGGTATGATGATGGTGAGGATCATGATGATTATGCTGCTGATGATGACGACGATGATGCTGATAAGGATGATCACGACTATGATGGTGATGGTGATTATGGTCATGATGATGGTGCTTGCGATGGTAATGGTGTTGGTGATGATGATGATGATGATGATGATGATGATGATGATGATGATGATGATGATGATGATGATGATGATGATGATGACGATGCTGATGGTGATGATGATGATGTTTATACGGATGTGGTTGTTGATGATGATACTGATGTTGATGTTGATGCTGATGGTGATGATGATGATGATGATGATGATGATGATGATGATGATGATAATGATAATGATGATGATGGTGGTGGCGATGATGATGATTGTGGTGGTGATGATGATCACGACGATCATGGGGGAAGGATCTTTCGTGGGCGCATCTCCTGCGGCCCGCCGCGAGCTGTTCTCACGGCCAGCGTGGGAGGGGCCGCCCCTCGGCAAGGCCGGCGGCCCGCCCGGCGCGTCGAGGTGCGCCGGGGGGCCGCGCGCAATCTGGCGGCCAGCGCGCGGTCCGCTTCCTTCCCGAGGGCCCTGGGGGCTATCAAAGAACGGCCCGGGGTGAGAAGCTGGCCGCGGGGAAGGGGGGGTCGGGAGCCCCGGGGCACACGCCAAGACAAAGATGGAACTTCGGATGGAGGGATGGAGGACGTCCTCCTCCTTCTCCTTGTCCTCCTCCTGGGCGAGTCATAAAGGCAGCCACAAGTCTGGGGGTACACCTTGCAACCATTACCAATGCGGGAGGCTCGCACGCCGAGTGCGAGCACTGGAAAAGGAATTTCAGCCAATCAGTTTCACATAATATACAGAAACTTAATTCGGTATTTAACCTCTGGACCCCCTGGACACAATAGATGACTCCGTCGAGCTTGCATTTGCCTTGCGCAAGCCTGGTCCCGACCGTTTTGCCCCCCTTCGGGGTTCGAGGGGTTTTTAATCTACGATTCCCCTATGCATGCTTGCACAAAGAAAGTTATTGCCACATCGACTATGCCCCCCTACATGATCGGAGGTGAGGGGGTGAGATCGAAGTGGAACGGGGAGCCCCCCTCCCGGGAAATCGGTTTCGGCTTCGTGTTCGTGCGTGCCGTGCGTGCGGGCGAGGCGAAGCTGCGTGGGCGGGCGAGAAGAAAGTCTCATCCGGCTGAGGCGCGGCCAGACCAAATGATTCCTCTCCGGGGGCCGGTGGCGCGCGGTGTCCCGCCGGTGTCCCGCCTCCAGCTGAGGCGCGGCCGGACCAAACGATCGGTGTCCCGCCGGTGTCCCGCCTCCGGCTGAGGCGCGGCTGGACCAAATGATTCCTGACCGGGGGCCGGTGACGCACGGTGTCCCGCCGGTGTCCCGTCGGTGTCCCGATGATGATGCTGATGTCGATGATGTTGATGATGATGTTGGTGATGGTGGTGATGATGATGATGGTGTCCCGATGATGGTGATGGTGGTGATAATGATGTTGACGATGTTGATGGTGATGATGGTGATAGTGGTGGTGCTGATGGTGTCCCGATGATGATGATGTTGATGGTGATGATGTTGCTGATGATGGTGTCGCGGTCATGATGATGATGATGTTGGTGATCCTGATGATGATGGTGATGATGAGCTGATGATGATGATGATGATCTGATGATGATGTTGATGATGATGGTGTCCAAATGATGATGTTGATTCTGAGGTTGATGATGATGCTGTTTATGATGATGGTGTCCCAGTGATGATGACGATGTTGATGATGCTGACGACGATGATGGTGTCCCGATGAAGATGATGTTGATGATGCAGATGATGATGAAATGATGATGCTGATTTTGATGGTGGTGGCCCCCTGATAGTGATGATGCTGATGCTGATGTTGATGACGATGATGGTGTCCCGATGATGATGATGGTGCTGATGATGCTGGTGACGATGATGATGGTGTCCCGATGATGATGATGATGATGATGATGATGATGATGATGATGATGATGATGATGATGATGATGATGATGATGATGATGATGATGTTGGTAACGATGATGTTGCTGGTGATGATGATGGTGTCCCGATGATGATGATGCCGCGTTTGGACGCCGCGGCCAGGACTGAATTTTTAGAACAGCTGAAGGTGGCGATGGCAGGGAACGACGGCAACGACTACCAGAGTGCACGGGTCACTCGCGGCAGCACAGACGTAAACAGAAATCGGGTCAAAACCCCTCAAGCGAGGGCGGGTGGGATTGGGAGCTTGAGCACGACGGTTGTGGTCGTGCGGCCGTCCATTCCCTTCCCCAGCAAACACCGCACTAAAGTTGCTACTATGCCAGGTCGGGGCGCCGCGGCCAGGACCGACTCTTTAGAAAAGCTGACGGTGGCGATGGCAAGAAACGGCGACAACGACTACCAGGGTGCACGGGTCACTCGCGGCAGCACAGGCGTACATTGTTTAACACTAACATCACGGCCGAAGGCCGCCAAGCACATACCTACGGGCCTGAGACAATTCCTCGATAGCTGCCGCGATCGAGTCTGCCACTAACTCCGAAGCTCGAACGGGAAAGCGGGCAGCCTTGTCTGCGCGCGATGCCTTTAGCCGTGTGGCCATCAAAACATAAGTGCGGCCGCCCCGAATGCGAGCACACAAACGCAGTAGTAGGACATGCGCGCGCGAGACGACGCATGCTTGGGCAGTGCCAGCAAGCCACGCGCGTGGACGAGCGAGTGGCAGCACCAAATGGGCAGAGGTTCACCTGAACGTCCCCGAAAGAAGGGTGATTCATTAACCGAACTAACTGTGGCACGTTCCAGATGGCACTCCTACGCGGGTGTTCGAAGCAGACGGGGGCACGGTGCTTAATGCACGCGCGGATAAGCTGTATAGCGGCACGCAACTCTACATTGTCACAAGGGGGGAGACGGCAAAGCGCTGACCTCGGCAGCACGGCCGCGCTTACCCCGCGGATCAGCCCCCGTGCCACTAGGCCGAGGACGAACCTAACACCAGGTGCCCCCAGGCAGAGACAGCCAGAGAGCGCAGACAGCCGACGATCGAATCCACCCGAGAATTCGATCGACAACCAACTGCTGAGAAAGACCGAGGCTTACATTCCGACCCGCCCCTAACCTGGGACATCCCAGCCCGCGACTGCGCAGCGCTCTGCATATGGGGGCCCCGTGGGGCCCCGCCGCAGGCAGCGCGAGCCGCCTGCGGAGGGGGGGCCAGGCATGGGCCCGCCGAAACGCGGCCTTCAAGCGAGACGCTAGCGCATGGTCAGAACGGGCGCCTGCTTCGCGGCCCGCGGGATGGCGGGCAGCGGTTGGAACGGGACTGGCAGAAGGAATTCGCCTCTGACAGAACTCAGCGTGATCAATTCCGCCAGCCGTTCGAACACCTGATTACCGAAAGCCGCGACGTCTGGCGGCAAGTCCCCGATTCTCAGCTGCATCCGAGTGCGTTTGCCGTATCTCCTCGACGTCTTGTCCGTCGCCCGCCGACCTCGCTCCTTCACTTCCGCTATCGATCGGGGCCCCGAGAGCAAGTCGTGAGAGCCCCCCCCCATGGCGCAGGGTGTACAGCTAGGGGAGCTCCTTCTGCAGGCCCAGCTCCAACAGCCCCTGGGCGAACGTGGCGCGAACGTCGGCGGGCCTGAAATTCTAGAGGCTGGCGTTCGCGTCCCTGTTGGCGCTGAAGGCGAGCAGCGCGGGCCACAGCCCTGGGGCGTCCACCGGGGCCGATTCGTCGGTCACTCCAGTCTTCCCAGGGCGGCCCGACTTCGCATCGTTCACAATGAGCCCCCACGAGCTGAACCCTGTCCCCGCGATCGGCGCCACCAGCGATCCCGCCCGCGGGCGGTGGGCCTCGGACGGCCTCGGGTAAGCGTGGAACACCAGCGCCACGAACACCACCATGCCGGGCAGGTTGCGGGATATCATCCATCCCGCCACCGCCGTGGCTGCAGCCCGAGGCAGGGGGGGCCGCATCTGCGGCGGCACCAGCCTGCGCCAGCCGTCCAGCGCGCGGGCCGTCCGCGGCAGCGGGCGCTTGCCCCCCAAGAGGTGGGGCAAAAAGTGCCTGAGCGCCGCCGCCGACACCCTGCCCGTCGCGGAGTCGAACCCGTCCAGGGCCAGGTCGGTGAGGAACGCCGCCGCCGCCGCGCCCAGCTGGCTGGAACTGCTGAAGTCCAGGCCGTGCCGCGTCACCCACTCCAGGGGCCTCGCGGCGTGCCCTCGGTAGCGCTCCCGCGTCGCGTCCGTGACTGCTGGCATCTCCAGGAAGTTGATCGAGCCCCCCGCCAACTGCGCAGGGCGAGGGTGCGCCATTCTACGGGCGGCCTGGATCGTCATGGACCGCTGCCTCTCCGCAGGCTGCAGCTGGCGGCGCCGCGGTCGCCTCCTCGAAGCTTTTCCCGTGGAAGAAGCCATGGCGCGACGGCCCATCGGCCGCGTTCAGCTCCGAGGGCAGCCAGCGCAAATAACGACAGAAGTTGATCGCGAGGGCGAGGGCTGCGACCTTCCGCAAAGGGCGCCGAAGGACGGGCTCAAGACCGCGCCCTTTCCCAGCCGCCAGAGCCAAGGGGAGGTTATCTGAGAAGAACAGATGACGGTGATGGTGGAGGGACACGTTGCGGGAGGCGTGCCGCGCGGCGTCGCGCAACGCCTCGCCCTCGAGCTCCAAGATGTTCTTGCAGGGGTCCCAGTGCCTCCTCGAGATGACTGTGGCCCGCTCGGAGGCCTTCGTGATCTCTCCGGGGATCTCCAAGAAGCCCTTGACGGAGACCTCGGGGTTGATCGGCTTGCACCCGTTCACGCCTGCGGCCCCCAAGAAGCCCTCCTCCGCGCGGGGCCCGTCCAGGCCCAAAGCGTTGGCCCCAGCGGCCACGACTGACGTACACCTGCGCCGCCACCTCTCCGTCGACCTCCCCGTCCTGGACACCGGGGGCCCCTCCGGCTCCCTTGTGCAGACGCCGACCCCAATGGGCGACGCATCAGGGGCCGAGGCCCGCGAGCCCCATGGGAGACCCAAGTCCGAGGGCCACAGAGGCAAAGTACTAGCGACGCACCAGCGCTCGAACCTCACGGAGTTCCACAAGGGCCTGACGTCGGAGTCCTTGAGGGACTTGAGGACGTAGGCGGAGGACAGGATGGACAGGGTCTCTCTTTTGCAAATCATGGCCCAGATGATGTGCCCCAGCGATGCTTCCAGCAACCGAGGCGAGGCAGCCCCCCTCCGCAGCGCCGCCAGAATCGCCTGGCGCAAGCGGATGAGGCTGGACGGCTTCACACGTACCGTGCCTCTCCCGCCCTCCACCTCCAGGCCAGTAGAAATCGTCGTCGGCGAAGCTTGGTCGATGGAATGCACGGGCAAGCCCCGCCTCTCCAGCGTTCGAATGATCCGATCCCTCTTGGCTGTGACTGTAGCAGCGTCGCAGCCCACCGCGGCGAAGTTGTCAAGCCGGCTGCGCGGGACAAGGTCGCCCGCCTTCGATCAAACTCCCGTCGCCGAACCCATTCTCCACCAAATCTCTGCGCATGGTACTTTGGCAGAACAGGAGTGACCAACTCCATCCCATCGGTAGCGCGCGCGCCATGGGCTGTAGATAACAGTCACCAGGGACCGCCAACCCCTCAATGTGCTTGATTCCAACCAGTCGATTAGAAATGGTGGGCAGAGTAAAACAAGCCTCCACTCCCTTGGCACTAACATGTGGTAGAATGCGCACTGGATGTCTCCCTGGGCAAGAACGACGGGCTGACGCGACTCATGAGCGGACCAGGCCGCAGCCGTCGGAAGTGTTGTCTTTGGCGGGGGCTCGAAATCCTCGCTCGCAACTCTGGTGTCGAAGACGAGCCTCGAAGTACCCTTGCCAACCTTCTCAACAAAGACAAATCCCAAACTTCATGGATCCGCAGCTCCTGCAACGCGGAAACTAATCATCCCACCCTCGAGCAACTCCCCAACGAAACCAGCATAGGCACGGGGGTTGTTGGCCAACAGCGGGTCCACGTAAAGCCGCTGCGGTACTGTCGCAGCTCGGGCAGAAGAAGCAGACGTCTCGCCTCTGAGCATATCCGTCTCCATCCCAACAAGCATTCACGACCGGCCTGATCCGCCAGCTCTGCGACCTCCGCAGGCGCTGTAGACGTGTCAGGCCAGGGCGCGAGGTCCTGTAGGGCTTGACGCGCTGGGACTCCGCAGAGTAGCCAGGCGCCGATGCGACCAGCTCTGCGAGGGCTGCTTCGCCAGAAGGTCGATCCTCGTGAAAGTCAGGAGGAAGAGGAACGTCGCGATATACCTGGCTGATGTGGCCCATCGCGCTCGCCTGGGCTGCTGGGTGCAGCCGCGCCCGCGCCGTGGCCGCTCATCTGGTTCAGCGCTGAGATGCCGTCGCTGGCCGAACGCCTCCAGGCGGCCCCGCGCTGGGCGCGCTGCCGCTTTCGCCGGCTTCGGCAAGCGGCTGCGCGCTCATCCAGCGCACGCGGCGGCAAGGGAAATACATCCCGCTGGCGCGCTCCAGGCGCCATCGGTAGCAGCGGTGCGAGCAACAGCTGACCGCCGCGTGGTGGCGGCTGACGCAGACCACGAGAATGCAGGGGTCGCCCAGGCAGCGCCGAAGCGCCCGCGCCCGCCTGGGAGAAGCTTCCGAGGGCCTATGCGCGCGCCGCTCGCTCCTCGCGGGCTTTGCGCCCCTCCTTGGCCGCGGCGGCCTCTGCCTTCAGCTGCTCCGCGGTGAACTCTGTGACCGCTGGCGAGATGCAAAGGTTCCCTTTGCTCGCCGCCACGCCCGTGTAGTGCTCGGCCTCCGACGCAAGCAAACTCTCGCTCGCCCCGAAGCCCTTCTTCTTGTCTTTCTCCTCCTCGGCGGCCACCTGCGCCGACGCGGTGTCCTCATAGTGGCGCTCCTCGATGAGCTGGGTCTGGCGGCGCGCCAGCTCGAACGCCGCCAATTCCGCAGTGTTGAACTGGTCGTAGCAGGTGGCCGTCTCCAGCGGCCTGCAGTTCAACTCGTGCTGCTGGCAGATGGCGTCTGAGTCCCGCAGCCGGGCCTCTGCCTTCCACTTCGAGTGCCACGCGAGCGGGCCACCTGCGTTCCGACGCATGTGGTCAAGGCACCACTGAGTAGTCCTGGGCCCTTTGATCGGCCAGTCGTCCCGCGACGTGGTGGTCGAGTCCCTCGCGGCCGTGGCGAAGTCCAGCTGGCGACGCCCTAGCAGATCCAACGCCGCGGGGAACGCGCGGCAGTCCGCCGCCACGGGGGGGGCCGCCGCCGCCAGTGCCCCAGCAGCCGCCGCGCCGCCGACGCCGTCGACGGCCCCTGCGCCTCCCCCTCCACCGAGGGGTGGCAGCGGCACGCCCAGCGCCGCCGCCATGGGCGGCCGCGCCACCTCCGCCTGCCGCCACCGCGGGGGCCACCACGGCTGCGCCGACGGGGTCATCCAGGGCCAGCGCCTGGGGCACCCAGGCAGCGCCCGCCCCGGCACCCCCAGCCAGCGTGAACGGCGAAGGCGGCAGTGCGGCGCCCAGCAGCAGCGCGCCGTCGCGCAGGTGGCCCGACAGCTCCGCCGCCGAAGCCGCACCTCGGAAGCGGGATACGTTGGCCTCCGCCACGCCGTACACAGGAGCACCGAGCCCGCGCAGCGGCCTCACCTCCTCGCAGTCGGCGTTGACCACCGCCGTCTCCAAGTACACGTCCCCGTCGACTGTCACGATCACCGCCTGCGACGGGGGAGCGTCGAACAGCGTGATCCTCTCGTGGAACACCTGCGGCCCGCCGACGCGGTAACGAATCGCGTGCGCATCACCTGCTCGCGGCATGCTGAGCTTGCCGCGCTGCAATGACCTGGATCTGTTCGGCCGAGGCGGCAGATGGCGAGCTCTCGACTGCAGACGCTGTGCCGCGGCGGCCTCTGAACAGGCCCCCGACCAGTCACTTGCAGCTCAAGAGAGCGGGCAGCGCGAACGAACCGATCAGCACTCCCAGCAAGAAGGTGACCACGTGACTGCACCAGGATCTGACCAGATGCACGAAGCTGGCCCCTGCGACGTCGGGGTATGAGAGACGGTAGCTGGAAGCGCACTCGCAGGCGCAGGGAGGGCAGGCGGGCGGCGCGGTCGAGGTCGCCGACCACGCCACCAGGGCCTGCGATGCCCCGCGCGCAAACTCCGCGAGGAAACGCGTGGCGGCACCCAGCGTGCCCCTCAAAAGCTTGAGCACAGCGGTTGTGGTAGTGCGGCCGCTCATTCCCTTCCCCAGCACACGCCACACTACAGTTGCTACTATGGTGTTGATGCTATGCTCAGGATGATGAAATGATGATGCTGATGATGGGTGGTGCTCCGATGATGATGATGATGATGGTATCGCAATGATGGTGTTGCTGATGATGATGGTGACGATGATGGTGTCCCGATGGTGGTGATGATGGTGATGGTGATGGTGATGATTTTCCTCGACGTCAGGACCAACATCTGATATCAAGATATGGTGTACAATGAAACCAGATTTAAGTGATCCGTCGCAGAGAGCCGACTGTCTCGTGTTGCCCCGCTTGGGCCAGACTGCCAGGGTGCTGCTCGGAGGGGCCTCCTGCGCAGCGCGTGCCAAGCAGCGTCGAAATGCTAGCTGAGATATTCGGCCGCCTCTTCTTCGGCGGTTGTATCATGCTCAGGTGGGGCCTCCCCCTCACACTGCTCCTCTGGATGTGCTGGCACGGCAGGGGGGAGTGGAGGCACGACGGAGGAGGGAGGGTATGTGGCCGGCCGTGACCGTGCCGCTGCTGGCAGGGAGGTCTTTGCCTCGAACGAAATTGACGCGGCGTTGAAACGCCTCCTCTCCGCTGTGGCCTGCATTGTGGCCTGCAGGCTCGCTCTGGCAGAAAAAGACGGGTTCGCTGCTCGAGCATCTCTAGCCTCCTCCTCGAGCCAGCCCACTGGGCCCACGTCTCGGTGGTGGACCGCCTGGCCCTCGGCCTCGAGGGCGCGGCTGATCAGGATTTGGCCCTCCCACATGGGCGCGCCTAGCGCGCCGATCACCAGCTTCGTCTTGTCGTGGTCGTAGCACTTTTCCAGGCGCACGAAGTTGATGGCGTCGAGGATATCTTCCTTGCTGATCTCCGTCTCCGCCTCGATGTCCTCGATGGCGCCCTTCATGGAGCCGCCCGCGTCGCACTTGTACAGTCCTTCTAGGGCCGTCAGCGCGCGGGGCGGAGCTGGCGACCCTATCCCCTGCAGGCATTTCTTGTCCTCTGGGGGGCCGCTCTTCCTGAGGGGGTCCATAATGTGCTCGTAGCTTTCGTACTCCTGCGTGATGGCATCTACCTGCTATGCTCGTCGTAAATGTCTAACTGCATGATCTTGATGTTCCGTTCGGCCTTCTTCGTAGCCCCGTGAATGCCCAGTGAGGCCAGGGTGTCCTGCTTACCGATGTTCTGTGCGTGTTGAGTTCCATTCTGTATGAGTCCTATCCTCAGATACAGTCGCCATGAATGGTCGAAACAGTGAGATAAACGTACGCATGCATGAATGTCCTGAATCACATTGCCAGTGGGGCTTTTTCATTTTTTTCTGCCGATGTCGAAAATCTGGATGATGGTGGAGCTGACGTCGTGATCGACCTCGAGCTTCCGTCGACTGGGGTGATAGACTCGCTCAGCGAGCGGGTCCGCGTATTGATAATCTGCAGTGCCATGTCCCATTCCTGCCCTTTGAACACCAGTGCGCATCAGGTGCTGTAGGGCGAGGAGCATGATGGTGAGTTCGATGGGCCTTGAAGAGAAGTGGGTGGGTCGTCGGACTGGAAATTGATGATCAGGGCGCTCGTCACCAGGGTCACGTTCATGTCGACCTTAACGTCCAGGTGGATGCAAGTCCAGCGTGCAGTTGTTCCACTGGTGGCGGTTCAGGTGCAGCGTGGTGTATTCCTGCACGTACTGGCCCTCTGTGTTCGTGAAGACGTTGAAATTGAAGTTCATCGTCCAGTCGTCCAGGGTCAGCGTGTCGTACTCCTGCATGTGCTGGCCCTCTATGTCCGTGGAAAAGTTGGAATTGACGCTCAGCGTCCAGTAGTCCTTCGCGAGCTGGGTGTGTAGGTAGTGGTCCAGCGTCCAGTAGTTCGGGGTCAGCGTGTCGTAATCCTTCATGTGCTGGCCCTCTGTGTTCATGGAGATGTAGCTCAGCGTCCAGTCCCGCACGTACTGGCCCTCTGTGTTCGTGAAGATGTTGAAATTGACGTTCAGCGTCCAGTCGTTCAGGGTCCGCGTGTCGTAATCCTGCATGTGCTGGCCCTGTATGTTCGTGATGATGTTGGGATTAATGCTCAGCGTTCAGTAGTCCTTCGCAGGGTGGGTGTGGGGGTAGTAGTCCAAGTGGCAAGTCGCGTTCAGCGTGCAATTGTTCCACTGGTGGCAATTCATGGGCCGCATTGTGTGATCCTGCCTGTGCTGGCCCTCTGTATTCGTGAGGATGTTATTGTTGAAGCTCAGCGTCCAGTAGTTCAGGGTCAGCGTGTCGTAATACTTCAGCATCGGCATCGTCGTCTGGCTGGTGGTCAGGTGCTTGGGCCATGCGCTCGTCCATGACCCTGATGTCAGCGAGCGAGTCCTGTGCTTAGCAGGTGCGCGGCGCCCGCGCTCCGGAGCACGTCCATGGCGGCATGGCGGTGTGCGGGGCATCGTCAAGAGGCCCCCTGCCTTTCGGGCAGGGCGAGGGGGCGGTGACTGGAGGCCGCTGCTCCATCAATGGCCTGAGCGCGCGGCGGCCTTGTGATGGTGATGATGATGATGATGCTGATGTTGAAAATGATGGTGATGAGGTGGCGATGATGGTGCCCCGGTGATGATGACGTTGATGGCGATGATGTTGATGATGACGATGATTGTGATCTAGATTGTAATATCGATGAGGAGATCGATAGTGAGACCGAATGTGAGATCGATTGTGAGATCGATAGTGAGATCGATTGTGAGATCGATCGTCAGATCGATCGATTGTGAGATCGATCGAATGAACTAGATCGATTGGTATCGATTGTGAGATCGATCGAGAGTGATCGATCGAGCGAACCCGATAGTGAGATCGATGGTGGGACCGATCGAGTGAGACGTTGGTTCCTCTCCCCCCGAACCTCCTCATCACCCGAAGGGTGGTCGTATAAGTATGTACACATATGAACGCACATATGTAGATACATCCGCCACGGTGACCCGAGGCGAACTGAAGTTTTCCCCAACTCCTAAACTTTTCGGTCCTTCGTAGTGAAGATTCATCGGAGGAGAGGGGGTGATATCGAACTGGAACGGAGAGCCCCCCTACCGGGAAATCGGTTTCGGTTTCGTGTTCGTGCGTGCCGTGCGTGCGGGCGAGGCGGAGCTGCGTGGGCGGGCGAGAAGAAAGTCTCCTCCGGCTGAGGCGAAACCGGACCAGATGATTCCTGACCGGGGGCCGGTGGCGCGCGGTGTCCAGCCAGTGTCCCGCCTCCGGCTGAGCGCGGCCGGAGCACATGATTCCTGTCCGGGGGCCAGTGGCGCGCAGTGTCCCGCCGGTGCCCCGCCTCCGGCTGAAGCGCGGCCGGACCAAATGATTCCTGACCGGGGGCCGGTGGCGCGCGGTGTCCCGCCGGTGTCCCGATGATGATGATAATGGTGATGATGATGATGTCGATGATGTTGATGATGAGGATGTTGCTGATGATGGTGATGATGATGGTGTCGCCATGATGATGATGATAATGTTGACGATGTTGTTGATGATGATGGTGGTGGTGATGCTGAAGGTGTCCCGATGATGATGATGTTGATGATGATGTTGCTGATGAGGAGGATAATGATGTCCCGATGGTGATGAAGTTGATGATCATGATGATGCTGATCATGATGAGATGATGATGAGATGATGATGATAATGAAGATGATGGAGATGATGGTGTCCCGCTGACGGTGATGATGAAGAGGGTGATGATGATGCTGCTGATGACGATGGTGAGCCCGACCCCTCCCCTGGCGCGGCCAGACAACACTGTTCTCTGTTCTTTACTTCCAGATCGTATCTCTCGGACGGTGCAGCGGTTGGCTTCGCAAACGGCGGAACCGATCGTCCCCCCTTTGAATTGAAATTGTGGCGGAGGCCACGCCAAGCGGGGAGGGAGTGGGGGGAGCTTGAGCGAATTTGGTCGGAGCCCAAAAAAGGCCGCGGAAGGACAGACGGGCGCCAGCGTTTCAAGAACATGCTCAGCCCGACCCCTCCCCAGGCGCGGCCAGACAACACTATTCCCTGTTCTTTACATCCAGATCGTATCTCTCGGACGGTGCAGCGGTTGACTTCGCAAACGGCGGAACCGATCGTCCCCGAATCAGCCCGAATTGGCCCCTGGCCCATGTCAACGCGCCAGGCGGGTTAACTTGTCAATCTGATTTCTGTCGGCGGCGCCCTTTAGGTATAAGCTGAGACGAGAGGCCAGCGAAACCCCGAAGAACACGAAAGGCGACTTAATAGGAGCAGACACACGGCGGTGGCGACAGAAGAAATCGTTACTAACAAAAGGCCCACCCGAGGCCGTTAAAATGTCGAGCGGGCCGTGGCGACCCGACGCCGAACAAACACAATGGGGCACTCTGGAGGTCCAAACGCCACGGGCCCGACTCCAAAAACCGAGATAATCCTGAACAGACTCTAGTTGCTCCTTGCAGGGACTGATTACAATCGCTGGACACCCAGCGGAAAAGGCAGCACTCGCAATCTTAAGAAGGTTGTGAATGCACTGGGCAATAGTTGCGCGGAGCTGGTGACTACTGTCCCCCGTGTGATCAGCACTCAAGTCTGGAAGCGTCGCAACAACGCCGCGCACGGCACAAGAACCGACCAGCCCTAGCAGCATCTTTCGGACGACCGAGAGATCGCGCATGGAGGCGTTGACCCACAGTGCACCGTGCTCACTGGACTCACAAAGGTATCGGCCCGCTTCACCTTTCGAGAATCCAACTTCGGGGAAAACTTGACTCTTTTGTTCGCACCCGAATTTGAGGCCTTGGCGCAGCTGGCGCGCAAGGCCCCGAGCGCACTCTGCGGCAGAAAGGCGGGGGCCTGCAGGACGTCGCTCCCGCCGAGCAGGCTGCCCAACCGCGCGTGGATCGTCTCGCTCCAGTCGACCACGGCCTGCGGCGCCCTGTTCAGCAGGGAGAGGTAGCGGACGTGCTTGGCGTAGCGCAAGCTGCTGTGCGGGTTGCCGTGCCGCAGCCGCTCGGTGATCCCGCTGAGTGGGAGCTGGTCCACGGCCGCCGCGTGACTCGCGGCCCCGTGGCGCACCTGGTAGGCGACCGCCGTGGGCGCCTCGGGCAGCGCGGCCAGCCGCTCCTCGAACCGCTTGGTGAACCAAGCCCCGTCGAACGACCGGGGCTGGCAGCTGGGGCCCCGAGCCCCTCGGGGGCGCCGCAGGGCCGCGCTGCCGCCGCCGCTCCAGCAGGCCTCGCGCAAGATCACGCCTTCGTCGGCGCCCATGACCTTGCTCCTCGCCTCCTCCTCGCTGGAGTAGAGGAGAAGGGCCCACGTGGGCTTGACCGCCCTGCCAGTCCCGATCAAGGTCTTGGGCGTCATGCTCACCAGGTCGGACGGCAAGCGCAGCATGCCGTCCCAGGCCAGCCACAGCGCCGTCGCGAACTCCAGGTCCTCCAGCAGCAGGCTGACCCCGACCACCGCCAGCGCCCAAGGCCAGCACAGAGGGTCTCGAGTCCCTCCTCGGGCGCGGCGGCGGAACCCCGCCACGGCTGCCCGAGCCACAGGAAAGTTGCCGTGGCGAGCCGTCCCCAAGCTGGGTCGCCGGTACTGCAGGGCCGCCAGCAGCCTCGAGCCCTCGCCGACCTCCATCCCGTCGAAGAACAGGACGTCCATGTAGTTGGCGGCCAGCTGGTCGAGGCGCCGAGCGGAGATCTCCGCCGGAGTCCCCTAGTTGGCCCACTCTAGGAAGCCGCGCCCGCTCTCGGAAGGCGGTGCGCGTGGGCGGCTTGACCTTGTTGGTCTGCAAGAAGGTGAGCCCAGGCTCGACGTCCCCCCGCGCGTCGCCGTGGCGGGCCGTCCTGGTACTCGCCCGCTGTCTTCTCAAGATCTCGGCTCGAGTCACAGGCCGACCCGCTCGACTCCGTGTCGCTGCTGGAGGAGCTGTCGGAGCTGAGGCTGAGGCGGTGCTCGACCCCGTTGGCGTCTCCCAACGGGTCCTCCTGGTCACCACTCGGCTGGGCAGCACTCTTGGCGGCGAAGTCCCGCCCAGGCTGCTCGCGCTCCTCAGCCTCGCCGAGGAAGCGCGTGCCGCCCGCGTCCCGCCAGGTGGCTGCCTCGCCGCAAGCGCGGGCGAGGGCCGAGGCAGCACGGCCCCGCGCCTCGTCGGCCCCGAGTTGGCCAGCATTGCGGCAGTCACCTTCGTGGGAGCTGAGCGGTCGCCCGATGGTGCGGCTCCCCTTGTCCGCCGAGTTAAACTCACTTGGTAACCAGCGTACGGCTACGGAGGATCCGGTCAAGATACTCAAGGCCGCCAACTCTCTGCACGTCTGATTTAGAACATAATGTGAATACCTTCCCTTTTTCCAATGCAGGTGTCAAACTCAGGTTGTCGCATAAGTTCAGGATGACATGACCCAAAGCACCTGCCCGCCGAAGCCGATGTCCCACGCCAGTGATGAAGGCGCGGCCCTCTAGACGCATGATGTCCTCGGGACGCCGCCAGCGCCCGAACACCTTCAGCTTCCAGGAGTCCAGCGGCAGCAAGAAGCTCGGGCCGATCTCCTCGAAATTCACCTGGTGCTCGACCGATGTTGACGCACGCCGAGCAGGCTTGGCAGCACTCGACGTCCGAATTGACCCCTCGCTCTCGAAGGGCAAAACCGTGTCTGACGTCTCAGGGTCCTCGACAAGGCCTGTCACGCCCGTCGGCTCCCTGGCGTCGTCAGCTCGTTCAAGATCACGCGCAGCCTGGAGGGCATGTCGCCGAGCCTCTATGGCCCCCTAGCACTTGTACCGCCAACGCTCCACACAAGAGGCCGCGGCCCACACGTCGTGCTGAGTCCAGGTCTTCTCCGTCACGGCATAGCGTCCAAACCCCGTGGCCTCCAGATCTCCTGAGCCAGTGGAGGCGTCCGTAGCTAGCACCACGGGGTCCACCTCCAACTTGGTGTCCAGGTAGGCAAAGGCGATGAGGGCTGCTGCCGCGCGGCACTCAGTGGCCACCTCGGGCCAAAGACGCCAGCGCCGCGGCCCTGCAGCCCGAGCGAAGCGATAGGCACTGTGGAAGACGCTCAGTAAGCAGCGCCGCAAGATGGCGGCCCACGTGTAGTGGCCGAGGAGCGATAGCATGTCGTCGCCGCTGCAGTAGCCGCGCTCAGCGACCTCCAGCAACGCCAAGCGCAGCCTCCAGACGCGGCCCCTGCTCACGGAGATGCGGCCCGTCTCGAAATCGAAGTTCAAGCCCGTGAACTTCTGATCCCACGGGTCCGAGTGCACCCCCTTGCACTTCAGATGGCTGGCCTCCAGACGCTGGTGGACCTGCTCAATCGTCGCGCTCACGGACGCAGGGTCGCACCCGATGGCGGCCACGCCGTCGACGTGCACGGCGACGCCCGCGGTCTCGCTCACGTCGGGCACCGCGCACCTGTCCTGAATGATGCGGCTCGCGCTGGTGCCGGCCGCAACGACCTGCGAGACCACCGGCGCTTGGCAGAAGTACGAGCTCCAACTCCAGCCCATGGGAAGGACAGTGAGCAGGGGCGAGACCTTGCCCTCCACCCGAGAGCCGATGTCCACCTCGGGCAGCGCCTCCAGCAACGCGTCCACGGGCACCGCGGGCAGCACGAACATCTCGTCCAGCCCAGGCGGCACCCCGATGCGATAGAAAGCCGCCTCGATGTCCACCGGACTCAGCGAGAGGTTGTGGCTGGCTGGGATCTTCAGGCCCCGCCAGACGCCAGCCGACGGCAGCGCGGTCGTGTCGGGGTCGATGAACTCCTGGTTGACGGCCCTCGTGTCGAGGATCATCCTCAGCTGGTTCCCCGACTTCTCGACAAAGAACAAGCCCACCGTAGAAGGGCGTGGGGGGGAAAACGAATCATACCTGCCTTGTGCATGTCACTCAAGAAGCGAGCGTAGTGGCGTGGAGACCGCCGCAGCTTCTCATCAATGTACGGAACGACTGGGGCACGAACCAGTTCGGGATCGCGTAGCAGTCGCTGGCGCCAATCGCGCCACAACTCGCGAAGGTGACCGTCCAGCAGCTCGGAAGCGTCGCACTTCACGGCGTCGCTGGGGAGACTCACGCGACCTTCGGTGTGCACGATGGACTTCACGGGCTGACAGTCATAGCCCGGTGTACTTCGGCACAGCTCCGAGAGGGCCGTCGCCGCAGTGCAAGGTGGCCCATCCAGGGCCTGAATTCTAATACTCATTTGCTCGATGCCTTGGCGTTGACCCAAGGAGAGAGACTCGAAGTTGCTTGACGCATCCCGCCCGTATAGCCAATTTAGACAATGTAGAGCTTCACATGCCCAGCGAGAAGAATAAAAATATTGGCGAGCACGGCTTCTCCGATGTCGAGTCGAGGAGTGGAAGCCGTCGAAGTCTTCCTCGACCCGCAAAGCCACGGGGACTGGGAACAGCTCCCGCGGCACAGCCATCACTGATAATCACTTACCATCCGCGGCCGCAGCCGCTCCTGATTTGCCTTTTTCGGGTCGATGGCCGCCAACTTCTCTTTCAAAAACTTATTCTCGCTCGCCAGCTTGTCGGCGCGGCTCTGCAGGCCCGCTGAGTTGTCGCGGCCCCCGCTGCCGCCTGCGCCGCCGCGCCGAGCTGTCGATCTCCCCCCTCGTACTTTGCGTCTCTCCTTGAGGACGCTCGCCTCCTTGTGCAGCTCATCTGCCGCGTAGCTCGAGAGGGCGGGCGAGATCATCATGGGGCCGCGGGTCTCCGACGTGCCGAGGTAGATGTGCTCGTCCTCGGCCAGATCATCGCCCGCCGCCCCCATGCGGTGGAGATACCTGCCCCTGTGCTTGTACTCAATCATCTGCGCCTTCCTGCAGATCAGCTCGAAGATCGCTAGCTCTGACGCGTTCAGCTGGTCAATCTGAATGCCGATCTGCAGCAGGCGCAGACAGAACTCGTGAAAGTCGACCCCTGGATCTGAAGGCGGCAGCCCCGCCTCTGCCTTGAATCGAGCGCGGCGGGAACGAGGCGCTGCATCCTGGTCTCGAATGAAGCGACGCACCCAACCAGCGGTCCTCGGGCCCAGCAGGGGCCATGGCGGCCAGGCGGTCTCCGTGAGCTGCTTCGCGCCCTCGCGGAACCCCAGGCGACGACCGTCCCCCGCGCTCTCGTGGATCGCCAGCGCCCGCGCGTCGAGGGCCGTCTCTGGGCCCCCGTACTGCACGAGAAAGCTGCTGTTGCCGACCTTCACGAAGCCGAGGCCCTCGCCGATCGCACCGAAGTCCACCGACAGGCTAGGCAGCTTGGCCGAGCTGCTCTGCCCTTGCTGTCTGGACCGGGCAGGTTGGACACGCTCTCCCAGCCAGGCGGAATCGGGGCTGAATCCGAGTCCAAGCCCGCCTCCTTGGGCGCTGCTGGGCGTCTCAGCGTCGTCTCCACCTCGGCGAAGGACCGTGCCGACGCGGCCGCCGCCGCCTCCAATAACTCCCGTGGCTCGGGTGTCCAGTCGGCGCCGTGCGACCTCGCGTTGGCGGCTGGGGCCGTGCCAACCACTGACGCGCGGCCCCTCTGCCCTGGGAGGGCTCTCGCCGCGCCCTGGATCACGTCGGTGTGCAGCGCGTGGGGATGCATGTCGCCGTCGGGCGTGATCATATAGAAGATCTCGCCACTCTCCTCCGCCCCCGCTGGAGGTGCTGTTCCCGTCGCTGTCGTTAACTCGGCGGCGGTGGCGAAACCCGCGACGACGCGCGCCTGCCAGCTCCCGCCTGCGCGCCACTGCACCTCGATGCGGTCGCCGATCGCCCAGGCCGCAGCAGCAGCCATTGGCGCCGATCAGCACGCCCACGAGCACTCCTCCGATCAGCACGGTCCCGAACGCGACACGCACGCCGCCGAACACCTGCACGGCAATCGCACAGGAACCCGCTTCTGAGACCACCGCGCTCTCCAGCACACGGTCTGCGAGCCAGGTCGCCGCCCTGAGCGAGGCCTGCGCAGCGGCTGACATGGGCCGCCGTGAATTAAGCTTGAGCGAATTTGGTCGGAGCCCAAAAAGGGCCGCTGTAGTACAGGCGGGCACCAGCGTTTCAAGAACATGCTCATGATGATGGTGTCCCGCTGACGCTGAGGATGATCATGATGATGATGACGATGCTGGTGGCCCGATGATGATGTTGATGGTGAGGATGATGATCTGGTGATGATGGTGATTTTGATGATGGTGGCCCGAGGATGGTGATGAGGCTGATGTTAATGATGATGATGGCGTCCTGATGATGATGGTGGCTATGGTGATGATGGCGACGATGATGATGGTGTCCCGATGATGATGATGATGATGATGGTGTCCCAATGATGATGATGGTGTCCCAATGCTGATGTTGATGCTGTTGTTCATGATGATGATGGGATGGTGATGATGATGGTGATGGTTGTGTTCCGATGATGACGATGCTGGCGCCCCGATGATGCGGATGTTGATGATGATGGTGGTGACGGTGCTGGTGTCACGATGATGATGATGATGTTGATTATGACGTTGATGATGATGAGGTGATGATGGTGGTGGTGTCCTAATGATGATGCTGATGATGATGATGATGATGTTGGTGACGTTGCTGACGAATATGTTGATGATTATGATGGCGTTGGTGGTGAAATCGGTTGTGGTATCGATAGTGCGACCGAGTGTGAAATCGATTGTGGGATCGATAGTAAGATCGATTGTGAGATCGATCGTCAGATCGATTGTGAGATCAATCGAATGAAATAGATCGAGTGATCTCGAATGTGAGATCGATCGAGTGACATCGATCGAGCGATACCGATAGTTAGATCGGTAGTGAGATCGATAGTGAAACCGATCGAATGAGACGTTGGGTCCTCCCCCCCGAACTTCCTTATCACCCGAAGGGTGGTCGCATAGGTATGTTATCATTAAGGGCAGGGGACCAACAATCTCAAATCGGTCCTGCGCGCGCTCGCGCACTCCTGCGTGCTCCTGGGCGAGAGGTCCCCAAAACGGGCCACGAGGGCTCCAAAACGTGACTACGGTGGCCCAAGATGCATCAAAGATAGCCCGACAGCGCTTCATGACGCTCAAGATGGCCCCAAACTGGCCAAAGAGGCCCCCGAGACGCCCCGAGAGGTTCGGGGATTTCCTCAACTCTTCAGAACCTCGGAGAGCCTCGGGAAAAATCCGGGTGGCTCCCATGAATGGGGGCACGGGGTCTCTGGGGACTTCCGGAGGGTTCGGGCGGCTTTTGCGGACGGTACCAGTCGTCGTCGTCGTCAACGATGTCCTCGATAATTCGATGCTCCAGCCTTGAACAAAAATGCTCGACGGCCAAGAGCCGCATGATCTGGAGATGGTAACATGCATCAGAGGAGGTGTTGGCGAAACCTTTGTGGGCGGGAGGCGGGAGATCTTAGTCAGGGGAGATCGATCCCCCAATGCATGAACCAAATCCCAATGAAGGGGAGAGGGAATTACTACGATGGATGCACATGGACTGTAAACGAATGTTCCGTTTTATGTAAAGTAACTGGGTTTCATTTCTGGCAATAACTTTTCTTGATCCCCTTGCCCTGTGCCAGGTAAATTTTTCAACCTAAGTGCCCCCCAGGTCTCGCACCCTGTTCTTCTGCCAGGGAAAATCTCGAGGCTCAACCTGCGTCGTTGGGCCCCAATTTACAAACGGCTCCCGCCAGGTTCTTCCTCGCAATTTATTCTAAACCGCGCTCTCGCTCGAGACTCCCTCGCATTTTACCTGGAATCGCGCTGTCGCGTAGGATGTCCTTGCAATTTACCAAAGGCGCTGCGCCATCGACGTCCAGAAATCGTGTTCTCGCACGCGACCTCCTCGCAATCTACTCAGGACTCGTGCTCTCGCCTGAAGCTTCCTCGCACTTTGCGAAATCCGCTTCAATGCCCCGCTAGACCGACTCGCCCGTTAGTTCTCGCCCGCCCGACCCGCCTGTTGGGGTCCGCCCGTTCAACCCGCATCTTAGGGTCCACCTGCTCGCCCGCTTGGAAGCCCGCCCGATCGCTCCAGTGTCCTGCGCCAGCTATATGTGTCAGGCACGGAATGAGCACCCCCAAAGGGGGTCCGATCGAAGACGAAAAGGGCGGGTATCGCTGGTTCTGGTGTATACGTGCTGTATGACACGCGAACAACGCAGAGCGAACAATTCTTAACATGATCGGTTTCTCACTTCTTGCCGACAATTACTGGTTACCGCCCCCCCTGGGGAGGAGGAGGAGGAGGAGGAGGAAAAGGAAAAGGAGGAGGAGGAGGAGGAGGAGGAGGAGAATGAGGAGGAGGAGGAGGAGGAAGAGGAGCTCCTCCTCCTCCTCCGCCTCCTCCTCCCGCTCAGCCTGCAACCTCCCGGGCCCCCACGAGCCTCCCTGGAGGCCCCTTCTGAACCCCACCGATACATTCTAAAACTGTCCTCCTCCTCCTGCTCCTCCTCCTCCTCCTCCTCCCGAGGCTCTGCTCCAATTGCCCGGACGGACCCCTCACGGCGACCATCGCCGGCCGACTCAGGGGCTCCTTGAAGAGGCTGGCCCCGGCTTCGGGGCCGCAGGCGCGCCAGCGCCGGCAGCCGAGAGTGGCGCCAGGCGCGCCAGCAGAGCCGCCTCCGCGTCGCGCCTCCCCCGCCGGTAGCGCTCGCGGATGCTCTTGTCCTTCGGGCCCTCGGCGCCCGCGCCGTCTCTGCCCTCGGCTTCGCCGGGGGCCCGCAGCTCGGGGAAACCGCAGCGAGCGGAGGAGTTCAGCGCGACCTCGGCCACGTCCGCCTGCGAGAGACCGAGGGCGCTCCGCGCCAGGGCGTACTCGAGCGCGAGGGCCTGGTCGCACTGCTGCGAGATGGTGGGGTCCTCTCGGCTACACGCAGGAGTGACCCGGTCCAGAACCGAGCGCGCAACCCGCTGCCATCGGACCGAATTCAGCCATCTGGGGGCCCTGGTGTGTCCGCACCAACAGGCACTCTGGCGAAAGGTCACTCTTACACGTAGCCGATCCTCCGTGCAGAGCGAGACGCGGACCCCGGCCCGGAGCAGCCGCGAGAACGCCTGCGCCCCCTGTCCGCCCGCGCCGCCCAGAGAGCGCCTGGAGCTCAGCGACACCGCCACGTCCACCTCGTCCAGCACGAACAGGTACTGCAGCGGCGCGTGCTCCGGCAGCGAGCCGCACCTGGACACCCCCGTGGCGCCCAGCATGTAGCCGCACGCCAAGGGCTCCGCCGAAGCCGCCGCGCAGCGCAAGGGCAGCTCCTGGAGCCCCGCGACGGCGCGCGAAGCATTTAGCGCCTTCAGCCGCGTCCACGCGTGGAAGAGTTGATAGGCTAGCGGCGGGCTCTGCGCCGCCGTCCACTCCGAAGGCTCTCGGTCAGCCTCCGCCCCCAGCGCCTGGGGCCCGTGGGGCGCGGCTGCGAGCTCCACGGCGCACACATCCTCGAGTAGCTTGTGCAGCGCGACCCGCTTCTCCGCGCCCTCCATCGAGGCAGTGGTGGGTGGCCCGAAAGCGTTCTCGAGCAGCTCTCCAAAATTGAGTACGGAGCGGCGCTCTTTCAATCCCGCATACGCTGCTTGGGGGAGCTGTATGACCCATCGAGCTCGATCGCTCTTCACGTTGAACTCCTCAGCCCAGCGAGCCATGTCGCCCCACGAGCCGCTCTCTGGGCTCAGGGGCAGCCGGTACTCGGCGTACGCCGCGCCGCCGCTCGCCGCATCCGTTGCCTCGAGGAGGCCGAAGCTTGCCAAGACCGCCTCGGCTAGGAATTGCCCCCTGGCGTGGTTGGATATACGGGAGAACACCCCGCACAAGGTGCTGGCGCTCGGCATCGGCACATCTGCGTCCCAGGTGAGGTCCGACGGGCATGGAGGCCTTCCCAACTGCTCCGCCAAGTCTGCCAAGGTCTTGCCTGGCGCGACCTCCGCGCCCTTGGCGTCCTCGCCCTCCACCCTGCGCCTGAAGAGCTCCATCACGCGGCAGGGCGCCAGCGCCCGGGCCAGCTGCACGCAGCAGTCGACTCTGGGAAGCGGCGGCGCGGCGAGCGCTTCGGCCTCCTCCGCCTCGCCGTTGAGGGCCTCGTGGACTTCGAACAGGCCCCGCAGCTGCGCCAGCCTTCTTTCGCAGAAGGCCCAGACCTGGGGACTGCCCAGGATCGCCAACAACCGCTCGTAGTCGGCGCGGAACTCGGGCCACGCGATCGCCACCGAGCCGCCTTTGTCCGCGGACGCCGCCTCCCCGCCCTGTGGGGCCCTGGGTTGGTGCTCGCGGTACTTGCGGCGAAGGGTCCGGGCCTCCTCCAGCAAGGACCCCGCCCGCGCGGCGTCGGCGCCCATCGCGTTCACCGCGGCACGGACTTCCACCGTACTGAAATCGTCTTCCATGGGTACGTCCGACAATACGGCGGTCCGCGACCTCTGCTTGCCGCCTGGGGAGCCGTCCAGGCGGAAGCGCCGGTCGACGAAGGTGGACATGAATTTCCCCACGTCCTTCGGGCGGTGGAACCCCAATTCGAACAGCAAGTCGCTGACCATGCTGGGGACATCGTGCTGCGCGAAATACGCGTCCACGTCAGTCTCCATGGCCCGGGATCTTCGGCTCGGTGCTGCCTAGGAGATCGGCTGCCGCGCTGAGTGAGGGCTTGAGCCAATCCTGCAGACGCGTCACGCAGGGAATCCCCCCCTGGCTCGACTCCCTTCAGAGCTGGCGCTCGGGACCCCTCAGTGGCACCGCTGTGGCAACGTTTGGAAGGCCGAACGCAGCCATGGCCAGGAATGAATCCCTTGGCGGACAATGAAACTCAGAAATGGAAGTCCTCAATGGAGCGGAGCTCTCTGGCGGAAGGGGCGGCCCTAGGTGCCCCGCGTTGGCGGCGCAAATGGGCAATGCAAGTAGGCAATGCTGCTGTGCTTGATGCTCCCAGGAAACTCATGGAACACCTGAGAAGGGAGGAGGCCCGGGCCGCTACGCCTTGACGGCACAGGTGGGGCAAATGGGTGGTGCTGGGGGTCCTGGAAGAAAAGAAGGCTCTGCCCGCGCTGCTGCACCAAAAAATTCTGGGAGGCTCCCGGTATGTTACAGTCGGCGTGCTAACGTAAGGAAGGCAAAGTAAGGAACGAAGGGGCTTTTCTCGCCACGGCGAGCCTCGACCACAAATACGTTCCCCGACGTAAATCTAAGGAACGGTCCGAACATCGTAGCCCCTCCTGAGTCCAAAGCGGTTCTCATTTCAGAGTCTTGACTGCATTGGCAGGGTGGGCCACCCTGGACGCCACCCGCTGGTTGTGTAGGTGGGTGGTGCTGCTGCGCCAGGGGCTCCTGGGAGGCTCCTGGGAGGGGGCGATCCTGGTCGCCACGCGCTGGCGGCGCAGGTGGGCAAATGCCTCTGTGTTGCCACGTCGTCGACAGGCGTCTGCTCAATGGAGGTGCACAGTGGCTTCCTGTGACTAGCCCCCTCTGGCGCGCTCGCAGGACGACACTGCTGAGCTGCGCCTGTGACACTTCAAACGGGTTTACAACGCGTGTTTAGACAATGCGCCAGTGTAGCGCTATGGGCAGTCAATGAGCATCATGTTTGAAACACATGGTGATGACGTATATTTGGGCTGACGATGAGCTACTCAGGTCATGCGGTGCATTTTTTCAGATGCGAAGTCAGGATGGGACTAGTGCCAGCCGATTTGTGGTAGTTGTTTGTAGTGAAGCCCTATGTGACATGCGCAATGCAAGCTTGAGGTAAGACATGTGCATGCACTCCCGATACAAACACGGTTGCCACACGATTCCGTACACCATGACTGAGGGAGAGTGGGGAGGTGGCGAGACGAGAAACAATGACCTTTCTGATGATCAACCAAAACCCAATCGATTCAAACCACAGTTCGTGTCCCTGAAACCCGCCACACTGTCTCCCTCCCGCTGTCTCTTTAACCTTTCCGTGAATCAGTGCCCTCCTTTCGCATGGCTTGCGCAGGGCCTGCTCAGAACGCAGCATGCCTACCAACGTGCATCCATTGAAACCAGTATGCCATGTGTGAGGGGGAAGGGGGGCGGGGAAAGGGAAGAAGGAGGGTAAGGGTCGGGACGGGTCGTCCTTGTTTGGTCGTTGTGGACGGCATGCGAAAATTTTGCATGTGCTTGAACCTGTGGGTGCGCAATTCCTAACAACACAACCGCATCGGGATCAGAAACCAGAAATACAACAGACACATGACCATAACCACGGGACATACACATCCAAGCATACCCAACCAAAGGGCGACGAATGCGATGGCACAACCACGCGGGCGGTGATCTTGAGAAACATACCGACGATAACGATTGTAATCCTCACGGCACTGTGCGAAACACAATCACCATGGTCCATGTCGGCAAGCGGTAACCGCTGCATGCCGCAACCGGACAAGCGCCACGTGACTCGGAATGATGTGCCCGGCATGCGAAAAAGGCGAGTGAAAACCTCTAAGAGGTCCCACGATCGCTCGTGGAATGTCTCCATGGCAAGCGAAATACCTTAACAAATACCGCCGTACATCATCCACGGGGTTCTGAAAAATACCCCTCCCTGCATCCCGTTCTTAGACCTCCAAAATGGAACAGTCCGGAGCTGATCGCCGCCGCGCCTCCGCGTTTGCGGGGCTGCACGGCGGCTGGCACCACTGGCGCGGGAAGGCGGTTGCCACCACTGCAGCACTGACGAACACTGCGTGTCGCTGTGGAGATGCACGCCCCCTTGCCCATCTACGTGAATGATTAAATAGTGTCCTTTTTTCATGCTGACCTGGCCTGCAACCGTATACCTGCATCTGGGCGGGTTGCGTTGACTGACCCTACCCAAGACGACACAAAGTGTGCGGATCAATATCGCACATAATTACGGTGATGCTAACATGCTTCAGTTGGCACACATATTTTATATGTACACACACAACTGAGCGTACGTGAAACCGAATACGTTTTTCCCAACCATCCTGTGGTGCTGGGTCCTCGTTTTGAAGAGACAGCGCCCCGCGCCGCCTCACTCCTCCTTCCTCCTCCCCCTCCTCCCTTCTCCCATCACTGCCTCTGCACCCCGCACAAGTACACGTTCCGTGGGCCCTACAGGGAGCTCCACTTAAGGCCCCAGTGGCAGCGCCCGCATGCGGTTCCACCCTCAATTTTGGCACACCTCTCACACGTTGCGTGGGCCCATGGGGAGCTCTACCGATGGCCCCAATGGCAGCGCCCGCATGCAATTCCATCCTCCATGTCGGCACACTCCTCACACGTTCCGTGACCCTACATACAGGGAACTCCACTTAAGGCCCCAGTGGCAGCGCCCGCATGCGGTTCCACCCCCAATCCAGCACAACCTTTTACTCGTTTCGCCGGCCCATAGGGAACCCAACCGAAGACCCCAGTGGCAACGCCAACATGCGGTTCCATCCGCCATTTCGGTGCACCGCTCACACGCTTCGTGGCCCTAGGGGAGCTCCAGTGGCAGCGCCCGCATGCGGTTCCACTTTTATACGTGTCGTGGACCCCATAGGGAGCTCCACTTGAGGCCCCACTGGCAGTGCCAGCATGGCGGTCCCGCCACATGTCGGCACACCCTTCACGCGCTCCGTGGCCCCATGAGAAGATTCACCGACGGTAATACTCACAACGACGGTACCCACATCTGCATATTGTTGGCCCTTCTGCCAAACTAAATTTGAAATGTGCACCGTTATGGTCGGCCCATTGTATTCCACACGGCCGTCTACCGCAGGCACATATCAAACTTGCTGGCCCCGGGTGGCTACTCGGCGTGAAATACTCCTGCCCCTCTTCAAACACTTCCCCCAAGAGGCCAGTTTCGCGGGTTTCTAAAAGGGGGGAAGACTCGAACGGAGTCGTGCCAAAACGGTTCGAGCGTAAGTCTTCCAAGGTGCCCCCACATTGCTCCACGTGGCCTGCAAGATCGCGCAGGATGGTTGAACCTGAGCCTAAATCCTACATTGGCTCCATCATGCGTCCACGAGGCTGGAGCGGGACCAGATCTGCCTTTGAGCCAAGCGGTCTGGGCCGCTGGTAGGGCTCGGGGTGCTCAGGGACCTTCCGCCCGCCCCAAACAGAAAAAGACTTGAAGCACACAGTGGCCACGGGTGCAGCCTGGGGATACGGGGAGGAATGCAGTCAGCAAGGCTCGCCATGCTGCCGAAACGCGATGTTATAACTCACTGTTAATCATGTTTTACGGTGCCACCGCGTGGGCCCCGAATCGATCGTGTGTACAACACTCGTAACACCCACTTGGTGGAAACCTGTGTGTGTGTGTGTGTGTGTGTGTGTGTGCGTGTGCCTGTGTCTGCGCGTGTGAGTATGTGTATGTGTGTGTGTGTGTGTGTGTTTGTGCGTGTGTGTGTGTGTGTGTGTGTGTGTGTGTGTGTGTGTGTGCGTGTGTGTGTGTGTGTGTGTGTGCGTGTGTGTGTGTGTGCGTTTGTGCGTGTGTCTGGATTTTTATGGTGTGCTGGACCTTCTGCGTGAACCCTGTGCGTGCAACCCAACCATGCGGGTCGAAGCAACCACAAGAAATATTGCGACCCGCAAGGCCAGCGGCGAGAATTCTTTGCCAGAGGAACGGGATCCCCGGCAAATGTGTGGTGTGAAGATGATGCTATGTTGGTCTCGTTGCTGCTTTGGACAGGTCGTACCGACTGGGCAGTGATATCCGGTAAGCTGATATGTATGGAGTATGTGGGCGCGGAAGAGGGGGCGAAGACGCGGCGACGATCCGATGCACTCCCTTTTCGCTAACGCGAGGTTGGCCCGCGGTGCCAACCAAGTATCTTGATACGAAACAGCTGCGGATACACAATATCGTGCAATAGCAGCAAGCGGCGGCGGTACAAAGACGGCAGGGGAAGATGCTGCACCACTCCCCTCGCAGCGGGATGAGTAGGCCCATAGTGTCAGCTTCCCTCGAAGCCCCGCGGGTTCCTGAAACTCCCATGCACTTTGCCCCCCCTGGCGCCAACGCCCAAAAACATTTGCAGCGCCGAGGGCGTGGTGCCGATACTACTGATGGAGCTCACTTGAGGAGGGCCGAAACAAACCGACGAATCTCACAACCAAAATAGCACACGGCATCAAAAGTGAATGTTGGTGTTCTGGGTCTGAAACTTTGTCCAAATCTTTTTCAACAAGTATGACCACGCCGGCTAACCCGGTATCGACTTCTTCTTTGCCTCTACCGACGATTGAAGCACGCGTGACTATCGTTGGTGCACCAATGCTGCTAATTCTTTTCGACAACATTAAGACCCCGTAATCTCCGTTCTTGGCATGGTAGTGCCAGGATGTGTCACAGTTGCCTGCTCCTGCAGCATCTCGATTCCTGCGATTAGCGGAGCCAGCCCGGCGATCATGTGCATGAGCTCCATCGGCAGACGAGGAACGTGCCTGGCTTCCCGACTGCAAATCATCTGCTTCTCCATGTCTATAGTCGGCCCAGTTCCCGCGTCTCGTAGCGGCGGGGGGGCCAGGGCGCGGCGTCGCGCCCTCGGCCGCGCGCGAGCCGCGGCTACTTGGCGTGGGCGCAGACGGCGGCGCAGGCAGCGCAGCGCCGCGCGGCAGCTGCCCAGGCGTCGAAGGGCACCGGAGGCGCCGCCCATGACCGGCCGCGACGATATGCGCAAGCACCAGCACAGCAACAGGTCGGGAGGCAATTGATTGGTCACCGGCTGTGTCGGTGGCCTCTCTAGCTGCAGGATCTGTGTCCATTGCTCCTCCTGGCCCGGTGTGCGCGGCGCTGCTGGCTGCGCCAGTGGCGTCCTCCATGGTATTCGCGGCCCCATAAGTGTGGTCCGTCACCAGTTTGTACTGCAGGCTCTGCATCAACAGTGCCGGTTGATTGCTGAGTCTGAAGACCAATCGGTGTTTGATGATCAACAATAGCCGCGGCAACGTGCATGTTTACGTCCGTTTGAGCTTTGGTATTGGTGCAACCGACATCAGTCCCTCCGTGCTGCCTGTACGCTCGCAGAATTACGAATTCAATCGCGGCGGCGCTCTGATCGTGCTCGATGGTCAATTTGTCTCAGAACTCGGTGTGATCGTCAGTCATCTCTTCATTCCATTCAACCTGGCCCTCGAATTCGATGATGCAGGCCTGAAACGAACACGATGCATCTCGCACTTTAGATCTCAAGTAGGACGCCAAATCACTTATGCACTGCTCTACCAGATCTGGGTTCCTGACCGCCTCTCACATATCCGCACCTAATGCGTGGGTATCTCTCCTGTCCAAATGGTGCCTCCGGATCGACCGATTCATCTGGGCAGCCCACGCACCCTTGTCCTGCAATGAAGCCTGCGATGCGTTCTCGAACGATACCCAGGATCCTGAATGACCTAACATCGCGTAAATGGTTAGCGATCTTTTCGCCCCCAGAATCCTACATGCATTTTGAGATTTGTTGGTAGACACCGTGTGGGTCGATGATTTCTCCATCCTCCAGGTGATCCATCATGCATTGACGCGCGACCCTCTTCGCGATGCGCACAGAGGTCCTACTGGCAGTCGCCGCAGTCGGGTTATTAGATAAATCCACGGGACCTTGAGATCGGGCCTCAACAGATATGTTCCCCCCGAGATTCTCCAGCGTTGCTCTATCTTCTGTGACTTTAGCTTCTGTGCGCGCGATTTTGAACGGAAGCTGTCAATTTTCGTCGTCTCCGTCACTATGTGTTTTGATGGGCGGAACAGTCGCAGGTTGTTGAATATCCCGCGGATCTGGACTCATCGGAAACATATCTTTTCCACCGAAGGTTGGTCGATCGGGGCCCAGGCTCGTCGCGACCACTTTCCTCCTCGCAATTGATCTTGGCGTGCGATGCGGGCGGCCCAGAACCCCTTCATGTTCGTTGCCGGTAAATCAAGCCAGTCTGCCTGATGGCGCGCAGGCAAAGGCTGAACTTCGCCCGCGTCGCGCGTTAAGTCCGCTGACAGGTAAGTGTCCACTAGCCAATCAGCGGGGGGGGGGTCGTGTCCGTCTGCTGTCATGTCTTCCTCCCAGATATCCCATCCCCCATTGGGAACGGACTGGTCGTCGTCAACTCCCGGCCAAACGAAAGCAATCAGGGGTGGGCGCGACATTGGCGCGGCAGTCTGGTCAACGCGTTGTCGGAGAGCCGGTCGCCAGTCAGCGGCCTTCGTGCCATCTCCCTGTCCGGGGTTCAAGGCATCGGAGGTGCGGCTCGTGGCGCGTGGGTGGCCTGTCGTTTGCGTTCTCAGCCTTCCACGACGGAACAGGCCCGGGCTCTTTTGCGCGGTGGGTAATGCCCGCCTTCGATTTTACAAGCCGGGTCTCCTTCTTTTCATCCATTGGCTCTTATGCATATCGTGCTCCTGCAAGTTGAACTTAGCGTTCGCAGAAGAATTCTCCTGCTGCTGGCGCCTCGTCGTGATCGTTAGGTTCTCATTTCCTGGCTGGATGCGTTTCGCGAGACCCCGTTTCTGAGGACAGGAACCGACGAACCGACCATGCGTTTTTATATGTTCTTTTGGCACTTAATTTGGAATCCCTGCGCCGCCGAAGGTTTTTGCAACGATTTCGGCATGCGGGTGCGACGGCGAGCGCGCGTGCATATCGTCCCGTTTTTGCAAACGATTGTTGGAGTCGATGAATTTCTACAAACGGAAGTGCGCGCGCATTTTTTCGCGCTGGAGGATGGCGGGGGGTTTCGCTGGCCTGGCTCGGATGATGTGATTTCATCTTTCGGATGGGCGATGGGGCAGAATCACGTGTACATTGCCATGCGAAAGACTTATGATGCGCCTCTAAGCTCATACCTGGGAAATGACGAAAGCATTCTTTATACTCCAAAAGTGCTCTTCGGTTTTTTTGGGGCAGATGCTCCAAACATGCTCTTCGGTTTCGGTTGAATTTTGACGATGCTCCAAAAATGCTCTTCGGTTTCGGTTGATTTTTGACGATGCTCCAAAACATGCTCTTCGGTTTCGGTTGAATTTTGACGATGCTCCAAAACGCGCTCTTCGGTTTCGGTTGAATTTTGGCGATGCTCAAAATGCTCTTCGGTCTCGGTTGAAGTTTGACGATGCTCCAAACAATGCTCTTCGGTTTCGGTTGAATTTTGACGATGCTCCAAAAAATGCTCGCACGGTTTTAAGCAGTCTTGGTGAGATTCTATGGATGCTCCAAAAGTGTTCGTGCGGTTCTGGGGCGCGTTGAAGATGCTTCCGGGATGCTCGGCCTTTTGCGAGCACCTTGACAATGCTACCAAAACCGAGCGAGCATTCTTTGAGCATCGCCAAAGTCCAACCAAAACCGCGCGAGCAGTTTTGGAGCGTCATCACTCTACAACCAGAACCACGCGGCAGCGTTTGACAGTAGACGACGTAAACGCATAAACGCAAATGGACTAGTGATGCGGTTCGCCTGGGCAGATGCCAGGGGGGCAGGGGGCGCTTGGTCGCTTGGTAAGAGGGCAAGGAGCAAGGATATCGGATATCGTCTGGGGGGTGGGCGGGGTGGGGTGGGGTGGGTGGGGTGGGGGGGGGGGGCGGGGGCGGTGGGTGGTGCGTGGGGTGGTGTGGGGTGGTGGTGGTGGTGGTGGTGGTGGTGGTGGTGGTGGTGGTGGTGGTGGTGGTGGTGGTGGTGGTGGTGGTGTGTGTGTGTGTGTGTATGTGTGTGTGTGTGTGTGTGTGTGTGTGTGTGTGTTTGTGTGTGTGTGTGTGTGTGTGTGTGTGTGTGTGCGGCTGGGTGGGTGGGCGGGGTGGGGTGGGGGTGGGGTGGGGGTGGGGGGCGACCGCGCTCGGACCACGCTCGGAAAACGCTCGGACCACGCTCGGACCACGCTCGGACCACGCCTCGGACAACGCTCGGACCACACCCCGGACCACGCTCGGACCACGTCCGGACCACGCCTCGGACCACGCTCGGACCAAGCCTCGGACCACGCCTCGGACCACGCCCCGGACCGCGCTCGGACCACGCGCGGACCACGCCTCGGACCGCGCTCGGACCACGCCCCGGACCACGCTCGGACCACGCCTCGGACCACGCTCGGACCACGCGTCGGCCCACAAAAAAGGTCTCGGCCTATGGGGTCTCGGCAAGGCGGCAAGGCCATATGCCATCTGGCCATATGGCCATAGGCCATACGCCATAGGCCATAAGGTCTCGCCCGTGGGGTCTCGTTCGTGGGGTCTCGGCCCATGAGGTTTCGGGTGTCGGCCCATGGGTCCATAGGCCATAGGCCCATATGCTAAATGCTATAGGACATAGGACATAGGACATGGGCACATAGGCCGTAAGGTATCGGCCCACAGGGTCTCAGCGTCTCAGCCCACGAGGTACAAGGTCTCGACCCATAGAGTCGCTGCCGATGGTTTTTTTTCACGATTTTGGGGTCTCAGCCCATAGGCCATAGGGTCTCGGCCCATGGGATTTAACCCCTGGTGTCTCTGCCCATGGGGTCTCGGCCCATGAGCCATGGGGGCCACGTCTCGGCCAATATGGTTCGGGATTCGAAATCAGGGTTAAGGGTTAAGGGTTACAGGTTAAGGGTTCATGGGGTTAAGGGTTAAGGCTTAGGGGCTTAGGGTCTCGAACCATGACATGTCGCCAGGCGCCAGGCCAAGCGGCCGAGCAATCATGGCGACTCTTATATGCTCCGCGAGGGAAGGAAAGGATGGGTGGTGGGAGGGCTGGCCCCGAAACCGGGCGGCGCCCCCCCCCTCGCGGAGCACTCCATTTCGACGATGCCCCAAACATGCTCGCGCGGTTTTGGTAGCAATTTGATTCTCTAGGGCGGGCAGAAGGGAAGGATAACGAGGAGGATGACGAGTCTGGGTTGTGGGCTGGGGGCCAGTGGTGTGCTTCCTAGGCTCCGATGGCAGGCGCATCTGGCTTCTGGGGTTAGTAGTTAGTGGTTAGTCGGTTAGTCCGTCTCAGGAGCATCCTGGATATGTTTGGCAAAGGCTCTAGGGTCTAGGGTCTAGGGCGCGGGGTCTAGGGTCCAGGGTCTGGGTCTAGGGTCTAAAGCCCAGGGCCTCATGTCTAGAGTCTGGAGTGTAAAGTCTGGGGTCGGGTCCAAGGTCTAGGGTCTAAGGCCAAGGGCGTAGCGCCTCTGCCCTAGGGCCCTGTGGCCTAAGGCCTGGCCGTCGCGTTCAACGTCTAAGGCTTAGGGCCTGAGGCTTAGGGCATGAGGCTTCAGGGCGGAGCAGGGATCCGGGAGGCGGAGCATTTTTTGAGCATCTTTGGGGGCATCTTTTTGGGCATGTTTGGAGCGCCCCGAGAAGGGCCAGGGCGGGATCCAGGGGGCGGAGCATTTTTGGAGCATCTTTAAGACTTTAGGAGCATCTTCAAAAACATTTTTGCAGCATCCCGAGGAGGGCCAGGGCGGGAACCGGGGGGCGGGGCATTTTTGGAACATCTTCAAGAGTTCAAGAGCATCTTTGGAGCATGTTTGAAGCATCCCGAGCAGGACCAGAGCGGGGTCCCGGGGGGCGGAGCATTCTTGGAGCACGCCTGGATGGGGTTCGCAGCCGCCCCTCAAGGGGTTCGCAGCCGCCCCTCAGGGGGGTCGCAGGCTTCAGATTTTTGCAAAAAGTCCCCCCAGGGGGGTCGCAGGCGTCAGATTTTCGCAAAGTCCACACCAGGGGGGTCGCAGGCTTCAGATGTTGGCAAAGTCCCCCCAGGGGGCCACATGCTGCGTGGTTCAGATTTTTGTGAAGTCCCCCCCAGGGCCCCAGATTTTTGCAAAGTCCCCCCAGGGGGGTCGCAGGCTTCAGATTTTTGCAAAGTCCCCCCGAAGGGGGTCGCAGGCTCCA